CCGTTCTAGAAACAAGGCATGCCATCCTTTGCATCGAAGTTCAAACCTTTAAATTTGGTGATATGAAAACACATTTTGGTTGAGTAAATTTTTGCTTATGGGTGTCTCTAACCAAGTACCTGCAGTTACTGAGAATTTCAGGGCTGGGAGCATCACGTGTGCAGTGTCTCTGGTCTGCATAGTCCCCTCCTTTCCTTGGGTTGCTTTTTTGTACAGTGGGTTTGAAGAACTCTGTGTTCATATTAAAATATTCTGGTGTTCAGCAGTAGAAAGGTGAGGAAGGGTGTTCCTTGAAAAGGGTTGGAAACGGAGCCCTGAAGGGAGTGTCTTCCAAGGAAAAATTGAAAGCACTACGTCTGCACAATTTAAGCAATATTTAAGGAGAGATATCATAATATTCTGTAAGGATTACAAGATTGTAAACGTGAGTGGGGGATAAGAGTTTTATAGGAAAGTCCAAAGAATGTCAATTAGTATTTTAAAATTAAACAAGGGGAAATGAATCTAAGTAGCTGTATAATCATGCTCTATGGAAGATGTTGGAGTGGTGTTTTGTTTTTTTTTTTTAATTAAAAGTGCTGGAAGAGGAGAGGATTAATTTGATAAGTTTTCTAGTTTGGGAGAAGTAGTTAAATTTCAATTCAACAGTTTCTATCTCTTTTCTGAATTGCCATGACTTAAGCTCAGAAATTTTAGCTGTTTCTAGACTTCTAACAAGTTTAAAAGAATGTGATATGTGTTATTAAAAATCTTTGGATTCTGGTTCTTTCTTTTTTAACTTTAACTTGGAATGAGAAAACTATTTTCAAATCTCAAAAAATATATTTGCTTGTCACAATTTCATAATACTTAATGCACCGTTGTTCCTAGTGAATTGTACCCTAACATATCCTATTTCCCTGGTATCTTTTTTTGTATTCTTATCTGTTTTAATATGTGATTTGATATGCCTCACTCTGATCTCTTTCAGCCCCCTTTGTTTTTCCCTGATAGGTGTTTTGTGTCGTGTACATTTTGATTTCAGTTTTCATTCATTAAAATGACATTTCTCATATTCTGCTTCACTGCACTGTTGAGGACTTGCCACTTATTTTCCTCACCCATTCTATTCTTACTAATGGCAAATGAAACAGTTATTCCAAGCAAAAATCCTGCTGTAGGTACCTACAAGCCCCACATACAGAATGTGACTACTTTAGATGTCACTTGGAAAAGTGAGGATTTGGAGATACCTTGGCATTTTTGTAATGCTTAAGAAAAAAATGGGCATTTAGATGTTTGAGAAAAGGTATTTCGAGGCAAATTCTCAGCTACTAGAGTGGAGGGGTCTGTGGCACTTTTCTTCGGCTGAAGATCTGTTGTTTTGCATTTTTGGAGTCCCTTTCCATTAAATGAACGTTAGAGTAGTGTGAAGTTCATCAAACCACACCTGCTTGAATGAAAAAATGTTAGTAAGCTGTTCTGAGGGCAGCATTTCAGATGCTGCTCTCCCTCGGAAATGTCCTATGGAAGATAAGCGCGCTGAGGAATGCCATGGTAGACAGCCCAACAGTCCCTTTCACTTGGGCCAAAGCATTTCTTCTTCCAAGCCAGATGTTATTGATTTGCTTTCCCATCCTCCTCTACTTTGTCTGTGTTTAACCCAGTTCAATCTCCTAAAACCTCAGTGACCGTTAAATCTGTACTAGGGCCAAACACGTCATCTGGTGGCATTACTGTGCCCTCCTAAAGTCACAGTGCAGGTGATGAGTCTGGAGAGACAAAGTGAAGAAAAGTGGGTAGTCAGTTTTAAATAACTCCCGTGAAGACATACTTGAAAAATCTTCTCCATGACAGGATTTTTTGGATGATTCTCTCCCAGTGTGAAAATTGAAGGTAAGCAAAAAAACTTAAAACAGCACCACAAAGAAAATGTAAATCTGTTGTGAAAACACTTGGTGTCTTTCTGGTCTTATGCCTCAGGTCTCTGTCTTTGTGGTTGTTGCAAGCAATCAGAACAGAATGTGCCAAAAAAAAAAGAAAAAGGAATACATTAATCTTTCAAAGGTCTTTTTGTTTTGAAAAATTTAACCAAACCCTGGTTAAGCCTGTAAACCTGAGAAAATTTAATAATTTTTTTTTTTTTTTTTAATAATCATAGAAAATGTGCAGAATTATTGTCAGTTTTTCTCATTAAGGAGAAATTTAAAGTTGAAGTTGAATAACTTTTCCAGCCATTTTGATTGATTCAGTTGCAATCCATTACAGGGTTGCATATTGTTTTGTAGCAATTTGTTACAGAAAAATATTACAAGGTTATAGGCTATTTTACAAAGAAAACCCAGTACTAATTGGCTGGAAAGGCTGGTTTCAGGGTGAAAGGAGTGAAGTGAAGCAGACTTTGAAACTGCAGTAGTAGAAAAGAACATAATTGAACAGGATATTAAATAATCAGGTATATAATATCTAGCAGAAACTTAATTTTGTGTAATTACCAAAATAGCAGTTTAGTTTCAAATAATGCATGGTATTATAAAAGGATTAGTCTGATACTGTGTTCCAGTTCATAAACGCTATGATTTATTGTGCCATAGCTTACATATTTTCTTAGGTGAGATAACAGTTAATTTTCACTTCTTGCATACAAATCTTGTATCCATGGATCAGAGAAATGAATGTCTTGCCTTAGTGATAGTCTAAATTTTATATACCCGAATGAGTCAACAGTGAGACTTTTTCACATGTGTTTTCTATCTTAATCTTTTGAAGAGGAAATAACAACTTTTTTGGATCTCCAAGTCTATTTACTGCAGGTCAAATTCTGCCATAAGAAGCAGTTTGCCTGGGGGAACTTTATTCTGTGTGTTTTTATGGACTTCATGGAATTACCTGTGGCATGACCTGCCACTGACACTCAGTGTGAGCAATATGGGGGCATAAAAGCACAAGGTATGTTACAGATTTTATACTGAAATAAGCCTGACTTTAGAGTGATATTGTGCCTTACCTGTGTGATATTTTTAGGTACCATTGTTCTCCACAGAGTGCTACAGAGCTCGAGGTGCTGTAGGGACTGGATGTCAGAGCTTTAAAACAGCACAGCAAGTACTTGCACACATCAATAACCGTCAAATCTTTATATTATCCCTGAAGAATACAGAGAACAATGGGAATTATTGATGCTAAGTGCATTGAATTTGTGGCCTCACAATTTAAGAGACTTATGTCGGAAACAAGCAGTTCTATATTCCTGGTTCCTAGTTACTTGCCAGGTGACTGCTTTCAGAAAATCAGCAGAAAAGACATATTTTTTTTAATAGGTACTGAATGGTGGGTCATTAGTTTAATAAGTAGCTATTTTAGACTTCCACAGTCACCTCACTGATTACTACCACATATTGCACTAAGTAAGGTCTTTGCCCATGCATGAGCTGGTAAGGGTCAGCATTTCAAGTATAAGATATGTGTTCAGTGAACACTAAAGAATTATTAAATAGTTGTTGCTGTATTCTGCCTGTTACTAAGTAGCAATGCTGAAGCCAGGAAAGAAATGCACAGGATTTTCCTTTCCGTTTTTCTCCTCTTCTCCTTTTGCTCTTTCC